CTACTGCTACTACTCCTACTACTCCTGCTACTGCTGCTACTCCTGCTACTACTCCTACTCCTACTCCTACTCCTACTCCTACTCCTACTCCTACTCCTACTCCTACTCCTACTCCTACTCCTACTCCTACTCCTACTCCTACTCCTCCTCCTCCTCGTCCTCCTCCTCCTGCTGCTGCTGGTATTGCACAGCAGGAAGGAGCCTGCGCACCATCCTGCATGACGAGTGCTGTGTTCACCTTGACGGCCAATAGCCTGGAGAAAAGCCAGGGTTTGGGATGAGGCTTCAAAGCTTGCGCTTAGGACAAATCTTAACCCCCCCTTCTTGTTTCAGGGTTCGCATTTTTTGTTGTTGTCTCTCTCTCTCTCTCACTCTCTCACTCTCTCTCTCTCTCTCTCTCTCTCTCTTTACGTAAACAAACGTCTTATGTTTAGGAAGGCTTGTAAATTATGAATTATGAGCCTTACTTCTGTACTACCCCTAAGGCTCCATGTACCCATATTATAGTAGATACTTAGGCCTTAAAGTACCTATATAGGGACCCCTTTAAGGCCTAAGTATCTACTATAAAGGTACAAGGAGCCTTTGGGTACAACCTCAGGGGAAAGGCTTTGGACTCCCTCCGTCGCAAGGGGCGTATGAGCTTACGGTTCGAGGATTCGCGGGTTCTGCTTTTTGTTGGGCGGTTTAGGGTCCCGAATGGGCTTTTTGGGGCTTCGAGTTTGTATGGGTTGAGTACTAAAGGTTCAGAGGTTCAGGGTCCAGGGACCTAGACTCTTTATGGGTCTAGTCCGTTCGGGTGGGAAAAATAATTAGGATTTAGGGTTTAGGGTTTCCGAATTCGTCATCCACCAATCTTGGAAATAATCCCACATTCCATGGACTAGAACCCTCACAGTCATTCCAAGAAGCGTCTTGGCTCTTGCTGAAGGAAAGCTCGAAGAGCCACGACCACTGACAAGCTCGCTGTCGGTTAGGGTTCAGGGTTAGGAATTAAACCCTCAACCCTAAACCCTTTATAGCCCTAAACCCTAAACCCTAAACCCTTTATAGCCCTAAACCCTAAACCCTTGTTGGCCCTAAGCCCTAAACCCTTTATAGCCCTAAACCCTGTATATGGCTCCCTCACTGAGTTGCCGGCATCATCTCCACGATCAAAGGCTTGTAGGTGGCCTTCTTCCCAAGCAAGACCGCCTCAGTGGCCAGACCGTTCAAGTGCTCTTAGGGCTTAGGGTTTAGGGTTTAGGGGTTTGGGTTTATGGTTTAGGGTTTAGGGTTTGGGGTTTAGCGGTTTGGGTTTATGGTTTAGGGTTTAGGGCTTGGGGTTTATAGGGTTTAGGGTTTAGGGTGGTCAGGCATACAACCCAAAACCCTATAAACCCTAAACTCCCTAACCTCAAACCCCAAACAACTAATACATGGGGGCGTATTCCCAAAGTCCGAGAACAAAAAAGCGAAGTCCCTGTTATCCTAAACCCACAAATCTAACATCTTGGGGTTCTTGCGGGCCTGACGATCCTGGGCAATCACTGTGCTTGAAGCTGCGGGCAGGGTTTGGGGGTGGGTGGTAGGTTGGTTAGGCTGAGGAAACAAAAGCTGTCGATCCCATCTCCGCATCTCCGCTTTGTGGTATACCTGAGTGATAAAACGCTGCGAACCCCTCCCTAAGAGTGTGCATTCTAGCAACCCTGTGAAAATCACAGATGTGTTGACACTTCAACCGAAGCTCAAACAGTTCGTGCATCACAGCAGTCCGAAGGAAATCAGGCAGAAACCATATTAGCTCATAGGCTACTGGAAGTGACGGGCATGCATGCACGCAACAACAGAGAACCACAGACGCATGCGTTGAGGCCCGAGGGGGGTAGTAAGCAGGTTATAAGTAGGGTTATAACTGGGGTAACTCCATTTTAAGGGTACTTGTGCATGACTCTACTTTTGACCTACTTACTAAGTCCCCTGGGCCTCTAAGTATCCGTAGTACATGGACATTCTGAACTGTCGTCGTCTTGTGCCTTGCAAGGACACACCTGTTGCTCTCTTGGGCTTCAGAAGCCTATGTAACAAGGACACCTCTTTTGTTAATCCTGCTACTACAACCCTCAATCTTATACTTGGAGGCCCGGGGGACTTAGTAAGTAGGTTATAAGTAGAGTTATAATTACCCTAAATGGAGTTACCCCAATGATAACCCTACTTATAACCGATTTACTAAGTCCCCTGGGCCCCTAAACCCTAAACCCTGAACCCTGAACCCTAAACCCTAACCCTAAACCTTGAACCCTAAACAACAAACCCTAAATAAGTCCCCTGGGCCTCCAAGTATCGTTTCAAAGCCCCTGAAGCTGGTTTTAGCCATCGATCTTCGGGAATCTTTCTCGGCCTCGTTCGCCGCCCGCACAGCTTCGACGTAGCGCGGCGGCTCAGCGTTTTGGTAGGCATTTGCTAGGGCCTGGTGTCGGGGCTTTGAAGCAGTCAAGGCCTGGGTAGGGATATTTTGGCTTTTGGGCCCCTAAACTAATCTCTAAACTGTGCCCTAAACCCTAAACCCTGATCCCTAAACTGTGTTTTTGTGGTAGGCATGTAGGATGTCGGTTCAAAGAAACAGGCCTGAACTCTGAGGCGCGCCCAGGTGGAGCGACCGAAAACTGTGCTTGATACCCCTGCGTTAATTATATGTGTCTGTAAAAGCATGCTTGTAAGTATGTATATGTATGTATGCATACATGTACGTATGTATGTGCGCATGCATGTGGTGAATAATCTTCATGATAGACTCCTTGCTTGATGAACCACGTGGACCTGTGTTGTGGCTTTCGTGTCGAAGTTAGACTTAAGCTCTCCAACTTTGACTGCAAAGTCCAACAATGAAACTTCATGCAATATCCTGCGAAGAAGATGTTCTGTGCGTAACTGCGTAACTAGTCCCTACACCCCAAACCCTAAACCCCTCCCGTCCCTGCATTCTGTGCTCGACTAAGAATTAACTTGCATTCCGACTGTCAACACAACACCTGACACCACGCAAGCCAGAACACCCACCGGCGAGACACTCAAAAAGAACGTTAGCCCGGTAGCCCAGCAGCATGAAGCCTTAACGCGAAGCCCTCAGCCCTGAACCTCAAAACAGGTCGAAAGCCCATGCGATCCATACAGACCCTGCAACTCCACAACCAGGAAGCACCACCAAACGCACTAATTCGTTTCAACATCCCACGATCTATCCCCCAACGTCCAGAAGCCCAAGAACCTGATCCATATACCATCTCCCAGAAACCTAAATCATAAACCCCAAAATGGATGTCACAAGACGACTCTTTGGAAACCCTAAGGTGAAAGCCCTAACCCCTTAAACACCAGCACCGAAACTCCGATGCGACCCTCCAAACCGAAACACCCGAAGATGCATTCCAAAACCCTAAGTGCCAGCCTTACAGGCCTGGGCTTCCAGAAGCCTGGCAAGAGAATAACACTTGGGTTCAGGGCTTGATAATGTACAATAATATCAGTATGAAAACTGATAGTGTGAACGTTGATGTTGATGATATTCGCAATGACACAGAAACTAATGCAACTATCACGTGATATCAATGTCAAGGGTAATGTTAGACATACTCTCTCTTCATATATGTATGTATAACATGTGTGTATGTGTGTATACATATATATATATATATACATACATACATATATAAGAAAGCGTCACCCTCAGGGCCCCATTTTGTTGTGTATATATATATATGTATGCATGCTCGTATACAGTCTTTCCGGGTGCACAAGAATGTATGGCACACACACACATATGTATATATATATATATATATACATGTGTATATATATATATATATATATGCACTTATGCCCGATAGCTGGAATTTTCTTGGACACCCAAGCATGTTCCATCCACCCCCAAGTGAGGGCTTCCGTTCCCTCAGGCCTGCAAACTACCAGACTGACGGTGCTAACTCCAAACCAAAAAACGCCCTTTTGTGTTGTGGGTGTTGTGATGATATTGTGGGCGTTTCGGGAGCCAGAAAGGTACTTGAGGGCGCTAAGTTGGCAAGAACTTATCCCGAAGGCTCAAACATCACACAAAGGCCTTACAAAGTCTTTGGATCCAGAAGCCGCTACATCTGAGTCCTTAGAGTTAGGGTTTAGGGCTTAGGGTTGGAGTAGTTTGACGGTTCGACTTTGTTCTGCATTCGGTGTGGGCTGCGGAAGCCCTGGGTGGACATATCGGAATGGTTGATACAACGAAGCCGTAAGAGGAGGACCCTATGAAACTGCAGAAACCTACTTTTTGGGGCTCCTTAATATGGTTTCCTTATATACGTCCTCAAGCGGTAGAGGTATTATTTCAAGGTTTCGGGGTAGGGTCTGTTGTAGTATGACTATTACGAACGATCCCAAAGGGTCCAAGTACTAATATGGCAGCTACTTTGTAGGTATTTGGGCCCCCAAAGTACATACTATACTATACCTTGGACCCTTTGGGGATCGAACCAAGGCGCTAAACCCTAAACCCTAAACCCTAAACCTTTGGGGATCGAACCGAGGAATAAGTCTTGAGAGCTAACCCTACCTAAACCCTAAACCCTAAACCCTAAACCCTAAACCCTAAACCCTAAACCCTAAACCAGTCTTGAGAGCTAACCAGGCTCCTGAGCGTTCGATGTCTAGAGTGGAGCCCTGGGCTTCGGACTTCAACTTGGCAGTTTAGGGTTTAGGGTTTAGGGTTAGGGTTTAGGGTTTAGGGTTTAAAAGAGTTAAAAGGGTTTAGGGTTTAGGGTTTGGGTTTAGGGTTTAGGATTTAAGGTTCAGGGTTTAGGGTTTAGGGTTGGGTGAAATCCGAGTGCGACGCTGATAGGGTGTGGGGTATACGGTGTGCTTCGATTCTGCTTGGCCTAGATGAAGTCCTGTGCCCGTGGGGCCGGCGGCAAACCCAAAGCATCAGACTGGGGTTTGGGGTTCAGGGTTTAGGGTTTAGGGTTTGGGGGTTTGTTGTAGTATGACATCGTTTCCAAGTGCTCTATAGACAGCTGTATCACAGCAGCCCCCCCCTCCGCCTGTGTCCGATATCCTTGGCCTTTTGCCGCATTTCCTTCGCCTTGTTGACGGCCATTTCCAAACTGAGCGGCTGCCCACGGACCGGCTTGGATTGGAGTGAATAAACTCTAAAGCCCAAACAGTCGATCTCGAAACTCTAACCTCGCCCGTAGTCGCACTGTATGCCAGGGAAGGCAAGAAGCAAAGTGATGAGGGGCGTGGGGCTTTGGGTTTAGACAGACTTGGAGGCATCCAGGGCTTGCAAATGGAGAGCAAGGAAGATCTAATAGCATTCCTGGACGTATCTTACACTCCCTAAAAGGTCCATGTACCTATGGAGTATAAACATCGGCGCCAAAGTACCTTTTTAAGGGACTACTTTAAGGCCAAAGCATATACTGTTTGGGTACATCGACCCTTAGGGACTGTCTTACACCTATGTGCCAGTGATTTGGGTTGAGCAGTGGCTTCCCCCGCCATGTTAGGCCTATATAGAAGTAAATCCCCTAAACCCTACACTGCACCTGAAGCCTGGAAACCTATCCACGCAGCCGTAGAAACGTTAAGATTCAAAGGGGCCTGTCAACATTTCCCGAAATCGCCCTGGAAGCCGTAGAACCCCTAACCCTAAACCCTAAAAGAGCGGGAAAAGTTGAAAATTCAAAGGGGCCTGTTAACGTTTAGTTTCCTCAAATCGCTCTAGAATCCGTAGAATCCCGAGTTACACCCTTATAAGTTTTAAGGCGCGGGCAAAGCTCCTTTCAGATCAAACCCGCCCTCAACCAGAATCTGTTGGGGACCCCAGCTGCCTACATTTACCATACTCATGTACCTGTGAGAACTAAAGAGAGTTCTAGATACAACTATATTATAGGGGCTATAGGGGGATGGTATGGCTCATTATTCAGACATCGAAGATACCAAACTCCACACCTCTGCGGGACCCCCGAAATACCCGTAATACGGCCCTAATGCTTCCCAAAGTCGGGTTTTTCGGAGTATCATTGTCAGTCTTTAAAACCTACACTACTAAACCTACTAAACCTCCCTATAAATTACTTGAACACTTTGAAACACACCCAGACCACTTAATCTCAGTCCATACACCGACCTTCTAACCCCAAATCCTCACCACCTCTAAACGCGAAACCTTCACAGCTGAATGCTCCTTTGGTAAGGCCTTTAGAACTCCCAAACCACTAATCAACCATAAACTTCTAAGTCTCTTAAGACCCTAAACCTTGAACAAACAACCCCAAGTGTTTTTTTCTAAAATTAAACCCTAAACCCAAACCCCAAACCCTAAACCCTGAAGAAAAAAAACAAGTGGCTCTTCTCTTTGGCTGTAGATCTCGGCGAGGGCCATCAGAGCTTGAGCCTGCGTCGTGGTTTCGGGGTTCAGGGTGCAGGCTTTAAGGTTTAGTGTTTAGGGTTTAGGGTTTGGGGTGCAGGCTTTAGGAGGTTCGCTGTCACTTTGGGGTCTTCCTGGGTTTAGGTCCCAGACTTTAGGGTTTACCCCTACAGGACCCAAATACCAAACATAAGTATACTCTCTCAAATACTATCCTAGGTAACTCCTATCCGTAACCGCAGTACCTGATTATTCGATCCCTTGGACCCGTAGGGGTTTGGTTTCCATACAGGGCTCTATAAAATAGGATCTGCAGTTTGTTTTTGCCCGTTTAGGGCCTTAGAGTTGAAACGCTTAGAGTGCGTCGGCTTATAGGGTGTAGAGCTTTAGGGTTTTAGGGTTTAGGGGTGTCGTGTTAAGCTATTAGGGTTTAAGGGTTCATAGGGCTTGGGGCTTAGGGCCTATGGCTCAAACCCGGAAGCGCTGCACCTGCTACAACCCCAAAGACAGGCCTGCACAGAAGATTGCCCCAACAACACTCCCACTTCCTTAGGGGCTGAGTACCCTAGCCCCGAATAGGTTAACCTTTTGAATTATAGTAGGATTATATAAGCCCCAGAAGGTTAAAGGTTACCTACTCAGCCCCTTAGCTTCTGTTTCCGGACCCAAATTCGAAAGGCAAGCAACATCTCCATGGGCGTTTCAACAATATTTTTACCGCCTACCGCATCGAACCGATACTGAACCGAACCCAACCGTACTAAAACCCAAGCACCGCACCGTACCGAACCGAAGCCAAATCCCTCCATCCAGCCCCTCTCCATCCCTGCCCC